TTGGCTGATTAATAAATTAATCGGCCATATGTTATACATCATAGCACATTGTGAAAATGACGACTTGTCGTCTTTCTGGATCGTCGAAAAATTTAAAATATGACTCGATTTCTCTCATTGTGTTCTAATAAGTAAAGTTTCTTAAACACTTGTTCTTCTACAGTTACATGAATGGTATATCTAAGTCCACAATCTATAACTAGTAAACGACATAAATTCATAAAAGATGAAGCTCTCATCCTAATTATATGATGACAAAAATCACTTGATAACAAATTTTCATAACCTTATCTCGAACTTTCTCTCCCTCTAGTCTTAATTCATGAGTAAACCTATAATTTATCTCGCGCTTTTTATGAACTATTAGCCCATGAAGTATGATAAATTGACATAGTAAAATAACTACACGTATCAAAATATTCATATTTTTTATCTAATGTGTGAACAGAAACGATATCAAATGCCTAAATAAAAAGAAATAATGAGTTTAATTATTCCAAATCAAAGCAAGTCATAGCATACATTTTAATCAACACACACTTTCGCCTGTTTGGGGAATAAATATAAGAGCAAACAGTAAACAACTGACCTTCAACTGAGAAAATCAGAGATCTTATTCATAATTAAAATCTGCTAACCTTTTTTTCCTAACCCCTGGGTCACGTGAGTAAAGAAAGAAACCAGAAACTTTGAAACGAAGCTCAGTTTTCCTCTTCTATGAAACTAAAAAGTGTGCAATATGAATCTATTCAAAGAGAAAGATAAAGCGAAGAAAAATGAAGAAAAACAAAACTTGATTTCCAATCAAGTCGAGTTTTCCCCTTTAAACAAAGATTTGTCAAATTAAAATCTTTTGGAAAAGCTCCAGTAGAAAAAGCATTTTTAATCATAAAGGTAATCGGCCAAGACTTTTGAATAAATACAGCTTTCAAGCCATCAGGGCCTGGGGCTTTAAAAGGGTGCATACTGAACAAAATGAATTTACTCATTAGAAGAATTTTGACTCAAAGTCAGAGCTACTGAAGGAGCAATAGTAGGAGTGAAAACTGGGATAGGGTCCAGCTTGTTCATCCTCACAAGAATATAGCTTAAAAAAGTAAAACATCATGGAACGTAATTAGAGAAGAAGATAGTCAGAGGGATAACAAAGAAAAAACAAACTTCAAATTCCAATTAAGCTGAGTTATCTTCTTCAAAGAAAATCAGGAAAAGGTGTCTTCGCAAGCGAGGCGAAGTAAGTACATACCTTGTGAAGGATAGGATTGGGCAGGTTTACGACAGAGTAAACTACCAGAAAGACAAAAGTACACAAGACATATAGGTACCCTATATGGAAAAATAAATGCTTTGATTGGAAAATGCGAGAGCAGGCCCTCCCAGCAACCTTACTTGGTTTGCTCGGGTGTGGAAAGTACACCTAACATATAGGTGTACCCAATAGAGAGACGGGGGAAGCCTCCCCGGAAATGAGTCCCAAAAGCTTGTCCTCTCTACAAAGAGTAAATTTTACCTACTCTTTCCGTTAGAGAGAGTGAGACCAGCCATGGTTTCAGGGTATGGCAACGGGAGGTTGGGCATCGTTTGTCTTTGAGGATAGACATCCCATGGACAAATTAACATCTCTCAATCCTAATTCACTCATTAAAGCTAAGGTTCTCAATCCTAATTCACTTATTAAAAACAATAAAGAATAAAGAAAGAATGATTATAATAATAGATCAACATCACGTGTGTCTTGTGAATTGTTCCTATAGTTCCAAATGTCCATAAAAAAAGGTTCTTCTTTTTCTTTTTTTATTTAGATTCTTAGTTTTTCTTAGAAGAGAGAAAGAGTAGAAAGAAAGGGTACGCTCTCTAAAAGATTTGCTCGGGGCTGTTCACTTTCACTTGGTCGCCTGGTATCTTGAAACCTCTTTGCTTGTGGGGGCAGGAGTGGAAACGTCTGAGAGAGCGCGAAAATCACTAGGTTCAAAAATGGTGCTTTCAAACCTGACTTTTGTTGAAGGGCCCCCGCACCAATCCCCTTCCCCTTATCATGGAAGCAAGCAAAGATTACTCACCATGACAAGGGCTAGTGC